TTTGGTCCAGATATTTAATGTTTCCACAGGATGCATCATCTCTGTTTACCCTCTGATTTTTCATCTAGCGCCACCAGCAGGTTGACAATTTCAGAATGAAATGTCTTGACAACTGAATGGACATACGTGCATCACGTGGGGGTAGGGCAGCATCAAGTGACAAAACTATGCAGTTCTCTACGATTTGCTCTCAGTTTGTTTGAGTTGACAACAACTCAGCTGCAAAGAAAAGTGATATTTCCACCTGTATATATACACACACACACATATTTAATCTCTATGAATATGTGTGTGTATCTATTCATCTATCTATCTACACAGAATTAAGGAGGAATAAAAGGATAGTAGATTGAGTTGTACTTAATACATACAGTGAAAACAAATGCAACAAATATTTCACATTCAAGATGTTTCAGTGCAAATCGGAGTTAAGTGTAAGATCTAGGATCAAGAAAGAATTGGAACCCAATCTGATGAGGAAAGCTGTACTTTGTGGCTCAACCTGCATTATTCCTCTGCGGTGACTTGCTGTTTAGTGTATCGTTCCCAGAACAGGATTTCAACACAATACTTTAATTATGTTGTGACAATAACGAGTTTGAGAGAAGTGTATCCAGACCATCTTCAGAGGGGAATTTAGCAGCATTACCGTTTTAACGACACTACAAACTACAGCCTCAAAAAGAAGGCCATTAATGTGAATTAACACCTCGCTCTGACATTCACGGCACTAAAACTGGTGGATAGATTTTTACTATATTTTGATGAAATGCTAGTTTAATAGAGATTGAAAAAGAAACTACATTTCTATTTCAAAAAGCACAAAATGGGCATTTAGTTTACCTAATTACTCCTTGTGATTCAGTTGCAGGTGATTCCAATTTAACAGATGTTTTCTATCAAAACAGGCACTCAAGTTTGTACTTCAGGGGTTTTTTTCCTCCCACAAGTCACACGGTTTTAATTCTGAGAACATAATGCCTGCCCTGTAAAGTCCTGAGAGGCACAGAAAGTTCATGAAACTAATGTACTCTCTTTTAACCTTGTCTCTACTTCTTACCGAGGAAAGCGTTGGGGATGGTGATTTTGAGCCACATGCGGTCCCTGACCTCCAGACCCGACTCTGGTGAGGCCATGGCCTTGGCAACCGATGCCATGTCAGAGTGTAGTGATAAGTTGAAATCATCGAAACCTGTAGAAAGACAAAAGAGAATTTTAGGTAAGCTTGAAGAGGAAGAAGTATAGACATGCAAGGATAAATAAAAGAATGGCTGAGAGTTGAAATCTAAACTGGGTCGAAACTAAAAGCCGAGGAGTCTAACTTTGAGGAGATCAAAGGCAGAAAAGCAGCAGACATCATTTATCACATAACGACAGCGACAAAAGCACAAAGACAGATGTGAAAGATGATTCTTGTGCCAATGTCGTTAGGAGAGAAAGATGGAAGGAGACTGTAACAGGAAAAAGATACTTTACAATAACGAACGTCATTCAGACGTTGAAAATCAGTCTGACAAACAAACCAGACGTTTAAAGGTGGAGAATATAGTTTTATGAGAATGGGTTCCTACACATTTTTAATTTCAAAATTCCAGACTTATCTGCAGACTTTTTGAGGTCAAATTTGAGTCCAAATAGCTAGATGTTTATTATAAAATCCAACTGTTCACATGTATGTTACATTCTACTATGTATACTTATATTATATTATACTATGTATGCTATTATGTCTGTGCAGCCTTATTTATTCACAGTGTCCATGGAAACGACAATGAACGCAGCCATAAAGGGTTCCTTAGACAGAAAAGATAACTACATCACTGCAGAAAGCATAAATATTCAGAAAAGTGTTTTTAGAAATTCAAAATTTTATATTTTAGAAAACAGAAAAGGAACAATAGTCTGGAAACAATCAAATATTTTCCCATGCTCATCTTGACTTGGAAATTACTAAAATCAAATTCCATACTTTTGCATACTGTGTCGGTGCCCTGATGAGAGGACTTGTGTAGATATGAAAGAACTACAACAAAAGAAAATAAAGAGGAGTGGTGAATTACAGCACACAGAAAATGAGATGATTAGGGCGACATTGTAAACGGCTCTTACGTTCGGTCTCGGTGACGGAGGAGGAAGAGGTGATGGTGCTGAGGGAGGAGCTGCCAGGGAAGGCAGGGTAGGCTCCGGTCATGGCCACAGAGTGGCTCACCCACGCTGCGGGGTCAATGGGTCGGATCGGTTCATCTGCACAGGTGGAGAAGAGAAACTATTACTGACCCTGACATCAGTGGTTCATCAACAAAAGCTGAGGCTGGGAGTGAGGCAGCCCTGCACTTACTGCGAGGCAGAGTGAAGTAGCCCTGAGGAGAAGGGTCCCAGCACTTTGCCACTGTGAGGATGATGGGCCTGAAAAATGAATAAGAAATCATCATAATCATTATTGACCACTTATGTGAAGACAAAAACTTAATACAAGTTTCTCAACTGAGAAAACAGCTACTCACCCTGGCTTGTGTACAATCTCCCTCAGTACCCGCACTGCGTCGTCGTTACTCATGTTCTCAAAGTTTATGTCGTTCACCTTGGAGGGTATTGAAGCATAAGAAGATTGTTTTAGTTAGACTGACACTATAAGTGCAGCTGAAATGACAGAAACACTGAAATGATCAATTCATTGTTGAAGTTATTTGTTGTTTCAGTTTTTCAATCTTCGGGATTTACTGTCTCATACTGAAATAACTGAATATCTTTAGGGTTCAGATTGTTGGTGGGACATAACACGCAATTTGATAATATCACCTTTAGCTTTAGGAAATGTTGATGTTTTTCACCTCTTTGTACCATTTTATGGAGCAAATAGATTAATCAATTAATTGAGAAAATAAGTGTTGCAGTCATACACATAAGCACTGATTTAATTTTCTGCATTTAAAAAGGAAACATAATCTAAATCAATGTTTTTTTAATATTCATTCAGTTTTAATGAAAAACTAAACACATTAAACAGATCAGTTCATATATCTCAGCACAACGACAGGAATTAATTAAAACTCCACAACTGAACACACATTGAGTTGTACCTAAGCTGGAAAACCCACAGGGGAAAAGATCCAGAAATGGGCCTCAAAATATCTAAAAAACAAGTATTTCTTCAGCAAAACATTCATCTAAAACAGTGAGAAATAAAAACACTTTAAATTAACTATTAAGTCGTTATTCTTTTTCACCTGCAGCAGCATGTCACCAGGTTCAATGCGTCCGTCTGCAGCCACAGCTCCTCCCTTCATGATGGAGCCGATGTAGATGCCTCCATCCCCCCTTTCGTTGCTCTGGCCCACAATGCTGATGCCCAAGAAATTGTACTTCTCTGTATTGTTGAAGAATCAGAACAGTGTTAACAGTCAGCATACAGTTGTCAAAGCGTGGCACTTGAGGCTCAAAGACGAGGATAGAGTTTACAGACCCATGTTGAGAGTGACGGTGATGATGTTCAGGGACATTGTGGAGTCGGTCACGCTGCTGAAGGACGAGGCCTGAAAACCACAAATTTACTATCAGACAAAAATACTTTCTCAGAGTAAACCATTTCAATGGCTCTCCCCTCTACAAACTATTGATTCAGCATAGAACAGCAGAGAGCAATCACTGAAATACATCAGCAGAAAGCACAACTCAAGAGTACATACCCTCTCCAAACGTGGTGGGCGCTGTTTCCTGCGCCTGCGGTGGCGTTTAAGAAGCCTAGAGGCTGTGCTCTGCTCTGTTGCACTGCTGAACCTACGAGTCAGCAAAAAGGTGAAAGGTCAGAAGAGAAACATGCTGTCACAAAGCTTTAATAGGGCGGTGCTTCCGTCTCCCCTTTTGTGTTGCTTTTTGTGTCTGAAACCCACAAAAAATAATGGGGGACGCTAAAGAGGGATTCTTGAGGGAATATTTTCCATTCTCGTTGATCTGTGGCTCCGATTTCATCTAAAGAAAATCAAACAAACTACAGCACAAATAAAAAACTACATTCCAATCCATATATACCCCAACCCAAACATTAACCCACTCATTTCTACAACATCCTGAACACTCAGATGAACTTTTTTTAAAATCAAATCTGGCCAAAATAATGATGACATTGGTATCGACCGATAATAAGATGGAACTCTCAGATGTCAGTGGCTTATGTTTATCTGTTGTGCTCCATCAATTGTGTGCTCGCTAAATGTTGTGTTGGTTATTTCCAACTCAGATATCGGAGAAGTCGCCTCCATTTTCCTGCACTGGCACAAATTGCATGCAAACACTTATGTGACTAGATCTGTGACTAAATAGACTGAGCTGCAACAAGGCAGAGATGATTATCTTTGTTTCCCAGAACAAACAAGCAAATAAATAACAACGAATATGGTATTAGTCCAGAATAGTCCAAAACATGTACAATTTAATGATAGTTGAAGAGGAGGAGACCATTTTTAAAGCAAAATTATAAGTGCAAATAATTGGAGACAAAGGGTTAAATTACTATATAATTAATATATATATACATATATACATATATACATATATACACACACACTTTAATATATAGTATAGTAGTAGGGAAGTTGTAACAACTGATGTTAACATCATATACTCTAAAATGCTCTTTTTAAATTGGATGTTTTGTGCTGTATTGTGGGATACATAAAATCTAGGTGTCTGAATTCCTCAGGTCAACCTCCCACCTGCTCATGGTGTCGTCGTCCTCGGAGTCGCAGAAGCTGGTGGTTTCCAGCTCGCTGCTCATCACTGTACTGGAGCTCTCATATCCTGCCAGGTGGCGCTCCAGTCGAGTCTGGCCGTTCATTCGAGGCCCTGGGACGTCACAGGAGAAGCCCGAAAGACAATAGGGAAAAATTCACCGTGAATTTTCATGTTTGCTCAAGTCTGTGTTTGCCTTTTCTTCTATAGATCGCAAACATTCCTCACTTCGACATTCTTTGATTATATCAAGATCTTTTCACTGTTTGGATGTTGGGAACATGCCAAATCTCGATGGCACTTTGTCACAAAAGAGCATTTTTCATCAGCGCTGTGATCTGGTTTTTCTCACCGTGTTGCTCCATGCTCTCTCTGTGCCGAGGTCTCTCTCTCCTGAAGGAAACTACAGACTCTGTTTCAGTCTGGTCGTCCAAAGTCTCCACACTGCCTGTAGCATTGGGGCTGTAAAAGAAGAAGCAGGAGCAAAGGAGGAATTAGAGCACAACTGACTTTCAACACTTAATTTAAATGTTTCATTAAAACTATTTGGCCAAAGTGAGAACCTTGGTTTTTACAATAATTACCTATAAAGATGTTTTATGACTTTAGGATTACTCTAAAGGTTTAGCATTGCACTTCATTGTTGTAGTCACGATGGACCAGTTCAGAACAAAAGGGGATCTAAATTGATGCAGCAAATATTGATCTTTTTTATTCCAAAAACTTCTGGTGGCCATTTAAAACAATCAAATTATTCAGTAATGCCAGAATTTGACGAGACCAATAAAACTCTAGACAGAGATTGTAATTAATGATTTGGCAGCTCGACACGTTTGGAATAGGTTGAAAGAAAATGTTTTACCTTTTGCAAACTGCAAACTTTAATGAATACATTTAGCAGGCTGTGTTTATCTTTTCAAATAACTATTTATCCCCAGTGAGCACACACACACCTGCACAAATACACACTGGATAAAATAATATGGTTTGAATTCTTTAAAAAAGTATAAAAGTGTACAGTACACTATTGTTGTAAACAGTATGGTCCACTTACACTCGTCACTTCAATTTAGGTCTTGACATAAGATCTGATATAATGAGATCACATTACATTGTTTCCAGAAAGTGAAACGTTCATTTCCCACAGCTCTACTTAAGATCAGATGACAGAAGATGTACCGGCCCGTCGTGTATTAATACGGTTTCAGGAAGGGAAAATGTTTCATTGACTGTATTCAGTGGCCTGTTACATTTATTCTATAGCTGTATTAAGTGTGTTTATTTGTTGGTAGTATCTATGCTGCATCATGGACCACTTGGATGTGACCGTGTCATCAATGACATTCCTGTAGTTGTGTGTGATTTAATTTCCTCCTTCTTATTACGTCAAATAGACTAAACTAAATCAACTAAAAATTCTTGAATCTCTTGAATGTGTGAAGTCACCCAGCAGATTGTGTTGGCGAGATACAACCAACATTTCTCATTCACGGTGTCCAGTGCTACAGTCACTTCTGTGTTCGCTCTTCAGAAGAATGTACAAAATATTCCAAAGTCAGATTGAGAAAATGTGTGCAGTCTGTTATACACACGTGTAGAAATCCACTGATGAATTGAGTGGAGCCTTAATGTCCCCTTTAGGCAGTTTAGTCTACAGACAATGAATTATAAATGTAAGAAAGTACACAAGTGAATGGTACAGCCAGACAGATACTGCTTATATGATCTTTAACTATCTCAATAAGGAAGCCTTATATAGAAGATTTATTTTAGTGAAACATGCAATAAGTGAATACTGGCCAATATATCTGTTTAGCTCTACTCAAAGTCACTTATATCATCGTTACCACATCCAAAGGATCAAGAAGAAACCAGAATCCACAAGACAAGCCCGTCACAACCAGAGTTGGTAACACAAACCAATATGCATTCAACAACAAACAAATTCCAGAGTAAAGCCGGATTTAAACTTCAGCGTTGAATGGACGCCGTGGGTACAGCGGAGGCCCGGTGTAGCCTCGTATCCTAACCTGACGTGCACCTCCGTCCACTTCGTGTGTGTGTGTGTGTGTGTGTTGTGTTGTGTGTGTGGTGTGTGTGTGGTGTGTGCATTGACTGAGAATAGGAAGTGACTCATACAAAATCCAGATGAGTTGATATGGCTGTTTGAGAATCCCTCTTCAAAACACATTCTCAAACGAGTGTTTCCTTCAGCACACATGCACACAAACCCAAACAGACAAACAGGCACATGTGGGACGCTGACTCAGTGCATGACATGCTCGTCTGTTCCCCCGTCCTCTCGTTTCACGGGCAGGGAGAAAAATACGAAACGAGGAAAACACAAGACAGATTGAGGAGAGAGTGGGAAAGTTTCAGTGGCCATAGTTTGTAGTACACGAAGATAAATAACACAGCGGTATAGAAACCCCACGGCCAACTAGCATTATTTGTAGAGCAATGCAGACACACCAGAGCACACGTATAAATACTCAAAACGACATCGGTTTGGATGTAGAGCCTACATACAACTATAAATCAGTCTTAAGCCTACATGGGGCCGCAGACTTCAGTGCCACACACATACCAACAACTGTGCTGATTACATAGGTGCACATAGAAAGTCTGTGGTTCATGATTGAAGCGAGACAAAACAGTTAGAGACACATTGAATTTTCCAGTATGAGCAATGGTGTTGATCCAGCTCCAAATGGAAAGAAATAACTAACGTGGTTAATTCTCCAACCGGCTGCAAACCGCACATTTAGTGAAGTTAAAAAGAAAATGGTTTAATTTGAAACTGGATTCAAAAGCCATCAAGCCACCATCCTGCAGCCACAGCAGACAGACAGGACGAGGTCCAAACATGAGAAATGAATGAACGCTGCAGCCGTAATGGGAGGTTTTACTGACGGGTGTGAACTCCATTTGACCCCTAAACCAAACTTAAAGAGCTCCAGACGTCTCAAGGAGAAGAATGATGGTAAGAAGCTATTAAAATTATAGATACTTTGTTTATTTTGGCCACCACAGGCTGTACTCAAATTACAGTAATGGTTTCCTCACATTTTAGTAGGATAACATGGATGCAGAAAGGATGATTATTCTTTAGAGGATCTTTATTTCATTCTGAAAAAGTCTCTGACTAGAGTGCCTTGTGGTTTCACACTCTTTAAAGCCGCCATAATCACTCTTTTTATATTAAAACTGGATCAAATGACCAAGTGCAATGTGAAATGGATAGTTTGTCCCACAGAGAATTATTCTCCAACTCTACAGCTACCTTTAGCTCAGAGAGTTTTTAGCCTCTTTCAGCTCATTGTTTTGGTTTTACATCCGACAACATGACCGTTATTGTCTCATTAGAGTCAATGCAAAAGCTCTCATAAACCCACTATAGGATACCTGCCAGGCGCTGAACAGCAGACAGATAAAGTTAGCGACTAGCTGGTGAACATAGTGGGACATTTAGTAGCTAAAGAGACGGACATTTCCCTCAGGAGTTGGTGAAAAGCAAAACAGAGCTAAACAGAGAATGAATGTAGGACTCACATTCATCAGGTTACCTGAAACACGACTCTAAATGAATGCTAATGGCGCTCCGTGCCTGCTGGATGTGTAAACAGTTGTGTAAACAGTCAAGTGTTTGCCAACACGTCATGCCATACAAATTAATTAAGATGATGATAAATAAGTCAATGCTGTTTCAACTATAAAAAGACTTTAAAATCAAGCTTCACCTAAAACTGGTAATGTTAATAACAAGGGCGGCTCCAAGACAGATCAGGTTCAAATGAGCTGTAATATTCTTGCTATTCTTGTTGTAACTTGATACTGGGAGTGTGTGACATATTCAGGAAACGATACGGTATCGACATTTCAGATAAAGTGTATGCGGGTACTGATGAAATATGTCGCTTTTGGGAAAGTTTCTGGCTTTGTGATGCCCCTCTGCGGGTAAATATACAGCACAGTAAAGCTAATGGGTGCCTCTGCTTCGCTTACTGGAAGGAGGGCGGTCTGGAGTCCCCGATGCCCCCGGTCCTCTCTGCAGGTGGGGGTGGGAGGGGCGGAGGAGGGGGCGAAGGCTGGGTCGTCGTTTCCACAGGGGGGACCACTGCCACCGGTGGCTCTGCTGCGGGAGTGTCCGAAGATACCAACTGGAGAAAAAAAAAGGGAGAAAGAAAAGAGATTAAGAAACAATAACAGGAAAGGTAAAAAAGGTAGAGAGGCAGGATGAAAAAGAAACAGAATATGCAGAGTGGAGAGGAATTGGCACAAAACAAGAGGTACAAATTGAGAGAGGGCAGCAAGAAGAGAGGGTGAGAAAACGAGAGGACTGAAAGGAGGAGTAGGAAGGAGGTGGAGGGTAGAGGGAGGAAAAACGGGTAAGATGTCAATTACTTTGACACACAAACGCTGTACTCTTTTCAGATGGACGTCTCAAGGGCATACTGAAATGCTATCCTACACTTAACCTGTCTCTCTTCATTATATAACAAAAGTGCCCACACATACACACACACACACACACACACAATTAGGATGAATGCCATACAGCATCCAATTACCTGGACAATTAACACAGACACAGGAAGGGAATGGGATGTAGTTAAGTTAGAGCAGTTGGGCAAATATGGCCGTATTTGGCTAAAATATAAGAAAACATATCGTCTTCCTCACGTTTTAACAAAGCGCACTTTGTTCCGTAGCTTTTAGATGCTTGGTGCGTTCAACAAATCCAGAAAAATAAGCTTCGCATTCAACCAAATGGAGTCTATCAGCCTGTACAGACTGACGTTGGCCCTCTTTACTGAGTCACTCCCTGCTCTTCCCTCCCAACTAATGGCTATGAAACACTCGTCTTCTGGGATCTCTCCATCCGTCTTGGCTTGCAGATCACATGTCAGTCCCTCTGGTCTCTGATCTTTGTTCCCCCTCTTTTAATGCCTCCCCTCGTTCTTATGCACTTAACAGATGCTTTCGGCCTCAAACCTGCTTATCTGGGCCCCGTCCCGATGTTTTGTCTCTATTCAAATGCAACCTGCAGGGTGGGGTGCAACAACTGGGCCGTCTACTAGGGAAACGGAAAGTATGAAAACTGTACCTGGCAGCTCACTGTACTGTAGCCGGTAACACGCTGTGTTGCTTGTAACTCGCAGGCTTGAGCATGGATTAGCACAATGACAGAAACATCTGCTTTCCTCATGATTTCCTCTCTCTTGGCTCCACATGTTGCATCGACAAATATTCATTATAAAGATTTGCTGCATCTGCAGACTTTCAACACCAATACAATGACTGAGTGGCTTTCAAATGCTTAACACAGCAAAACTGACTATATTGTCCTCACAGGTTCTTCTCATACCGAGAACTCAAGAAGAAGAAAAGATATTTCTTTTTCACTATTTTAGTTCTTTTAGGAATATTAATTTAAGACACACACACAGACACACACACACGTTTCCCCCGTGCCAAATTTCAGCCTCTTAGGGGGAAAACTCAAGCAACCAAAGGGTACATTTTTTGTAGACCGACAAGTTACAAATAACGTTACAAACGAAACTTTGATGTGAGAAATTAGTAGCTATGTTAGCTGACCAACAGCTAGCTAGCTAGCCAGCTAGGTCAATGTTGCGTTCCATGTTCGATCTATGTGGTAAACAGCTAATAAAACACATTGCTGGCTGGCCACAAGGCGCCTCCAGCCCCTGTTGTTAGCAGTTCTTGGTTCTAGACCAGCCATGTGTTGGTGCCGCGGTGGAACCAGTTTTCCTGGACAACAGCCAGATCTTTGGCTGTTGAAACGCAAAAGAACTGGTTTGAAATTAGGCACCAGGCCTCAGAGAGCAACTTATAGAGCTGGTGTTGGTTTAAAAAGGGTAACTGGTATAAAAAGGAACCTCCAACGCCTAACAAAGTGGACTGGCATAATACGAGAAATATTTGTGATTGGGTTAACTTTCTCAGAGAGTGACAGTAAAGTATTGGCTTCACTGCAACAAACGAGAACGGATCGATCTAAGGACAATGTGGATAAAAGGACAGGAGAGTAAGAAATGTATACCCCACAGGGCTCTGTTTTGTTTTTCTCCCTTTCCTTTGTAAAGACCAGCCAATAGATTTAATGGGTGCAAACGGTTTTATAGTCTGAACTACCACTACATGCTATTGGCTGCAGCGACTCAGACTGTGGCACCAAGAAGACTTTTCTCATAGATCTTGTGAGTCTGTTTCCTCCCACTTTACCTGGCTGGACAGTTAGTCTGGTTCAGGTTTCCCTCTCTTTCCAGGAGATTTTCTCTGAGATGTTTGTTCACCAAAGCCTAAACTACAAAAGAGTCTGTGCGTGTTGCAATATGATAGACAATTGTGCAAAATAACGACTCAATTTTGAAATTGAATTACTTTATTTTACTGCTGCTTGTTAGGAAAGATCATTAGTCCGAGGGAGGTCTGGGGGGAATGTGCAGGAAAGGGAAAAGTGGTTTCTGAAAACAGCCTCTGGCAGATGATGTTGGCTGACTTTTGAGATAAAAGCCAAGTCTGAACATTTTCATAGCAGCCTCAGTGGGAAATGATGAGATGACGTCATTTATAGATCAGTGGTCAGTGGGATCTGGATAGCTCCCACTCCCACTTTGATTACAAATATGCAACAGGTTTATTCACTCTTACCCATGACACCACCCTGCCGTTGAAACATGGCAACTTGGCACTGTCGTCGGAAATCTCTTCCTTCACCACCCTGAAAGAAACAGAGAGACAGTGTGAGGCTCGGGAGGCATAAATTGTTCTACCTTCATAACATTGGGGCATGGTATGTGTTATCTGGTGCAGCAGCGGGAGGGAATGAGGCTGAACACCACACCAAGGTTTTAGTCCAGTCATAAAGAACAAAGCGGAGCTGCCAGGGGAATTAAATAGTTTACATTGCTGACGCATTACATTAAATATATTAGACTATGACAACAACATGGCTGAACTAAATCAAACGCTCAGCTTAAGTCGAAAATATTACTGAAATATGTCTTGACAAGCTGCTCTTGTTCGCTTGCCATATTCCTTTAACATGTGTTACCATGTGTTTTATAGATCAGTCTGACTTTAGTGTGTATGACATCAACGCAGCAGCTGTAAATTCCCTTCAGAGTCAATAGTGATTTCAGCAGAAAGTCATGTTGAAGTGACATTAAAAGTATGGTTGTCTAGCAATGTGTAGGGACGCCCCGAAGCTTCAACTGTTGCTATGGTAATCAGAGTCCAAATCAGCATTTGCATGTTTACTTGGCGTCGTATTTAAAGCCCGATCTCTGTGTTTCCCATATAGACTTTACTTTGGTCGGCCCATTGTAGCATTTTGCACAGAAACGTGGAGAGACGTTAACTGGTGTTACGTTAAAAGACTCGAATACGGTGGACATTTTACAAGCACAGAGCAGGAGAAACATTCGGTACCACTGGTTTCAATCAGCTACGTCCTTAACAACAAGCCTCCTCCACACACGGGTAACTTTATAAAACAAACTACTGAAACTGCGGAGAGGCAGAGAGATGCAGGCCAAGGGGATGCCAGTGTGTGTAAAACAGGAGGTCCTTCTGCAAATTGATTTAGTTTTATACACTTCCATTGAAAAAAACTCAGAGCTTAGAACCTCTTGATTACAGAGGTGACATCAGCCAAATGTATACGTTTCATTTTGGTCTGTGGTCCACTCCTGGAATCAACCTTAAAGAGACAGTTGGGGCTGTCTGGTGGCAAGGTAAAGCAGTAAATGTTCTTAGTATAGCGTACACTTAAACTGATATAGACTGTTACGCTGACCCCGTATTCAGCAGTGCATTGCTCTGCTTTGGTGCCAGGACTCCCGTCTGCGTCTCCCAACTATGGCCGGGCTGACCTTCGTCTACTGCATGTAACACACTGACTGCAGATAAGTACCTCACACAACCCCTCTTCAAAAACAACCTGAACTATCCCTTTAATTAGTGGCAGCCGAAATGACCTGCCACAGACAGCGTTTGTCATCTCAACCAACCAAGAAGACTGCTACTTGAAGGATCTGTACACGGAGCTTTGCTAATTAGAGAGAAAGAGAGAGGGGTGAGATAACAGAGTGAGTCGCATCAATGTGGACAAACACATTAACATAGTAATGTGCTGTCGAGCTGCAACAGGAGCAGCCGAAGTGGACAAAAACACAGCAGAGTAAAGGAAGGATCTGACTGTGATGGGCTTTAGTGTAGTTGATACCCATCCATTCAAAATAAAAGAAGCATTCAGTAATTCAGCATCAATTTCAAAACAAAATCCTCTTGTAATCAATGTACAACGATATCCCTGCTAATGGGACTGGGACTAATCTTATTACCAAGAGCCACCCAAGCCACGAAGCTATGAATGAGCAAAGAAAGGAACAAACAATCTTAATTTGCTTCCTGCGGTAAGTGACAGACGCTATGGAATTTATTCTGTCACAGCAATGAGCTAAAACACACACACACACACACTATTACTGTTCTTGTGCCTCCTTGCAAATGACACAGCCCGGTCAGCTAAATCACGCATGCAAAATCCAATACACACAGCAACAATAAGCTCTCAGTAAGAGTCACAGTGAGAGCCCAGTGTCCACATGGCCAACGCTCCTTAAACACATCCGTCTGGCTCTTCTTCCCTCCTCCGTGCTCTTCCTCCATGATTGTCGGAAAGGCAAACACTGGGCTTCAGCTGTGTAATTTCCCCCCCCCAGCAGCCTCCCACTATGTTATTACAGTAGTTTACTGGGACAGGGACTGGGCACAAGTGCTACGGAGAGGACACTTGACTGCTCCAACTCCTCCAAAAAAAAGGGTTCTTTTCCCCGGCTGCATCTTTCCAGCCGACGTGCCTCCTCTTATGTGTGTGAGACTTGGTCAGGCTCCACTGGGCTTTCGTAAGCAGCTGCTGAGAGCTGGTTTTGTGGCCGAGTGTCAGCATACGACCAGATTGTTGTGGCCGCTGGTGGGGAACTGTTGCAGGAAGACTTTTGAGAAGCTGTGTGTGTGTGTGTGTGTGGCTACCGAATGTTAGTTAACAAACAAACTTCTCCTCCGTCTGATTTATCTGAGGTTTCCCTCCGCAGAAACTGCCTCTAGACGACAGCGGACGAACAGATGCAACATTCTTCTCGGGAGGTCGTAATTGTCCTCATTCCTCGGCCCTCCGAACAAACGAGCGACAGCGGTCGAGTCATTTCGCACGCGCTCTAAAATGCCTCAAATAACGCACAAACAGCCATAAAATATAATCCTGTGGAATTTAATACAACCTGAAGTTCTTCACCCCCGCTTCCCTCTTTTCCAGCCCCTCGCTGCTATTAAATTCCTCAAAACCAACACTGCATCTCCTTACCAGCAGAGGTACATGGAAGAATATCTAATAACCAGCCCACTCTGTCTCCCCTTTCTACTCCCCGTGGACAGTGGACACCCCAGACACCCGGCAAATGGCCTCCGTCCAGCCCCAGGTTTCCAGCACCGGCCCTGGCCTGCTCTGCCCCACCGATCTCCCCCACCGCCACACACACAGCTCTGGCCGACAGCTGGCCTCGTACCAGGGCAAATGAAAACACACACTATTACACACTTCTCTCCTGGGTCGGGGAGAGAGAGGGGGGGGGGGGCGTCCCTGCTTTGATTGGACAGCTGACTAAGAGCTATGTTTGAAATTTTTCATCTGAACTCAGTCGGAGATATTCAAATGAGGGAGTGTGATGCCAGGCTGCGCAATTTCAGTGAGGAACTGAGGACTTTTCTGCCATTTTCTCTTTAGAAGACTTTCCTTGCTCCGTTGGGACTCTTTGCTTTTGGAAAAACTCTAACATTGTGCGCTCACTTACAAGCACACAGCGTCTAATCTAATCATGTCCTGTCCAGTAAGACGGGACCGGCTCTTAATCCGACAGCCAGCTTTGGTGATTGTGGGAAGTGGAGTTAAAATAGTTAATGAAGATCATTAGAGTGTAACAAGAAGGGCTGTGCACACATAAAAATGGCAGATAATTGCTTTTCACAGTTATTAGGTGTACATTTAACAGTTTATTGGGTACATCTAGCTAAAAGTAATGCAGTCCAACACATCAGTCCTGCAATAAATCCAACCTTGGTCAATGTTGTAATGTTCAGTTTTTGTGGAAACGGTTTCAGAGGTGTCGAGTTAACGTTGTGATCAGTTCGGAGGCTGTAGTTGAACGTTACTGCCCCACACTGAGAAGTGTAACAGTCTAATATTTATCCTCTCCTCGTTGATATGTATGCGGTGTCAACGGCTGTACGTTCAAATAATATTGAATCAACTAGTCAAACAACATTTTTTAGCTTCTCAAGAGGGAGAATTTGCTGCTTTTCTCTGTGTTATGTTATTGTAAACTCATATTTCATCTGAGGACGTCTCTTTTGGCCCTGGGAACATAAAACGATTGACCAATAATCAATAGTCTAATCGTGAATGAAAGTAATGAGTTACAACACTAAAGAATATTTCTGTGTAATGTAATCACAGGGGAAAACTTAATCTGTTTACACAACAACTTTTTAAACGATACACAGACTATTAGACCTTATTCGGGTTCCATGAGATTACTTTCATTATTTATAGTCTACGATGGTGCAAACCTGATAATCACAAGTTCACCCGAGCATCTTGTGTAGTGATTTCAATGATAAAAAGCAGACCGCCACATTTCGGGAAGCTGCATTTTTACCAACAAATAACTAAAATGATCCAAATGCTCTTTGATTACTCAACTAATGAGTTCAACAACCCAACAACAGATGTGGAGTATTTACAAGGGGCACAGATTCGCTCAAAGGAATATCTCTACAAGTCAGTTACTGATGCTGTTGTATTCAAAAGATCTGCATCCAAGAGACACTTCCAGCCTGCCAGCTCGGTCGAACGACTAATAAAAAGCCATGTCATCCATTTCATCGTCCTGTTTGAGTCGATACTGCAGCTCACTGGCACCGGCTCCGATGGTGCCATCCAAAGAGGGGGGGAAAAAAGAGGCAAACGGGCCTTTAATACTCATCCAAGACTACAATGCATTTAACAGAAGCCCTTAAGGGTCTCACTGGGCGAATAAACCACAAACACGCATTCCTCTGCAGGAAAATGCACAGCAGTCACACCGAGAGAAGAAGAAGAAGAAAAAAAAAAAGATTAATTGATAGAGGAGAGGAGACAGCTCTTTCTGGAGGAGTGGGGTTGGGGGAGAAAAAGGGGGAGAGAGAGCAAGAGAGGAAGCCAGGGAATGAAAGGATGGCTGGCAGGCCAAAGTGTTAAAGAGGGGAGACAAAACCCTGGCTTCAGTCCCGAGAGAAAGAAAAGGCGAGGATTTCACAAGATGATGGACTGAAGGAGGGGAGGGAGGGATGAGGATTAGGGCAAAGAAAGGCAGCAGGGACAGGGAATGCCTCCCATTGTAATGATGATGTTTTCTGAGAAATGTCCCCCAGCCTACATACCCAAAGTATTTATAGAAGCACTTGGAAATTCATCAGCAGTCATTATAACTCTTTAGTTTTCTGATTAGGGATGTGTTGGCTCAATGGCGACCTTCATTCAAGTGTATTATCCCTCTAACATAAGTTATTCCTTGTGACGGATAACACGACAGCCGGTCACAAGATGGGATTTTCAGCAAACAGGCATTAATTTCATTAAAAAAATTGATTTTCTTTATGAGTTTTTTTCTTCTTTTTTTTTTTATAAATAAGTTAATGCTCCACTCAGAAAACAATGGCACACTATGGGATTGTTCTCCGCCGAAGGTTTACAGCTATTTGTGACATTTTTTAAAACTCATTTTTGGATATTTACTCGCCTTTTAGCAGCTTTTTGTTTTTGTTTAATCTCAACTCATTTTGCATAAAACACCACAAAAAGGAGAAAGAAAAAACCGTGCAGCTCACCCGAAGTCCTGGTCCATAGACTTGAAGAAGAATTTGTAGTTTGGCTTGTTCAAGACCTGCTTAAAATCCAGCAATGTGATATTCTCGGCAGCAATGGGTATCTTCACTAAATACGGCGTCTCCTCTTCGTCGATGTGATATATTATTTTGGTTTCCGCCATGTTTTCACCGTTGCTTTCCTCTTTCTTTTTCTTTTTTAATTCTCCTTTTCCTTTTTCTCCCCCAGCTGGAAGTGGCCACCAGAAACACACACTATGAGGCGAGGTAGCGTTTAACTTTGTTGAGGTGAGAGAGAGAGAGAGAGAGAGAGAGGGGGGGGGGTTTAGTTAGCTCTCCAGCTAGCTGAGGTGGCTAACGAGACGGCAGAGGTGAAACGATGATGGCCACTGAGATTTTCAGTCCGAGCCAGAGGACGTAAAAAGCGCCGCAACCTCCGCTCAAAAGCTCGCTGTCCGACTGCAGAGACGTGGAAAACTCGCATTCCCCCGCTGTTACCGAGGGGCGAAAGAAAAACCGACGGACACGCCACATTCACACGACCTAACTACCAACAACTTTTTTTTTTTTTCCCCCAACAAAAACATACAGGGGAGGGGGTCCGAAAACTTTTCACCACTTTTGAGCGAGCCAACGCGGCGTGTGACGTAAACACGTACCCCCCCTTTTTTTTTTCTTTACGTACGCACGCTCTCTAACCAGCCACCCAACATTTTTATTATATTATAGAGAAATAAATGTTTGTAGGATGTTATATGTATATATAAAAACACATATTTGTACAATACCTTGTTGTTATGCTGCTGTTATAACCCCCCCCGAAATAGTTTTAATAAATAATATAATTAATATAGTTTATTATTAATATAGGTTTAGAAAGTTTTATCTGTGTGATGATTTTAAAACCATAATATTAACATAAAAAGATTAAATCATCATGAAAAATAACAGTGCTTTAGTTAATACACATTTAGTTTTAATAAGTTAATATAGCTAGTTAATTATTAATATAGGTTTAGAAAGTTTTATGTGTGTGATGATTTTTTTCCCCCATGTGAATATTTTCTATTTCAATATATTAAAATAAAACCATAATATTCACTTGAAAAAACTTTAATCATCATGAGAAAATAAATAATAATAAGAATACTATACATCCTGCTTTTTGAAATGTATTTATTATAAGTAAAATAAGTCAAACTATATACATGTTTTTTTTTCTTCTTTTTATTCGTGCAATGGGACATAGTACAATATTAGACAAATTAAACAGACATAGTAACAAAATATACAGACAAAACAGTAGGAAATGGAGGCTTTGAATTTAGTGCAGATTTTTTGTTTTGTTAATGGGAAAACAACGTATAGATATTTCAGATTTTTATGTGTTTCTTTATGAAAAGTGTGTATATAAAAAGTTTGTTGTGTATGACCAGAGGGGTGTGCAGGTATATGTGCAAAGAGTAGGAGGAGTAGAGAAGAAGAAGGAGGGAGGAAAAAGTATAAAAAAGTATAATAATTATTATAAATTGATCATTTCAAGTAGTAAATAAGTAAAGGCAAATAACTTCCATCAAACTTCATCAAACCTTTAAAACAACATCATTTTAAATAAATACAGTTTATAAATTCATAAGTTCAGTGTAGTCAGGTAAAAGTCTTACTCCCCCTATAGCCCCAGGACAAAGTACAAACAATGAATGAGTGCATACATTTTTTTATTTCCTTTTTTGTATGTGCTTGTACACTAATACACAAATATTAGTTTTATAATGAATAAGATGTGTTGTAGTTTCCAAAAAATCTGATAGTGGGGCTCCTGGGGTTAAATCGATTAATCCATCCCCATTAACAAGAACAAAAAGATCTAAACAACCCAATAAAGAAGAAATGAGACACATTAGGAAAGTCTTGCAATCACTTTTCAGTATCATTATACTATTAAATAGCATCATTATAGCCATTAAATTATCCAATCTGACCTATTGACTCCTCTCAATCAGTCTCAACATAAAAGTCTGCCAAGTTATTCACATAAGACGCCATTGTGTTGAACGAGAACTTCTGGAGGTAATTCAATTCTTTATCCAATAAACAGATAAGAAAATGAAATTCCTTATCCTTGAAATAGTTTCTAAATATCCAAACGCACTTATTCATTTATTTTCAAAATGTACATCTGTTATATAAGGCAGCTTTGTTCAGTTCATGGCATTCGGAGTGACAGTCAGAGAAAACCTTATGAAACCTGGGACAAAGAAAGCACATTTCCTTTTAAAATCCTTTTAATCTCAGTTCTTACATCTCCAAATGAACCACTAGAGGGAACTCTTCATCAGTCTATCGTTAACAAAAGAGCAACAAACACATACAGTACAGTGAGGACAGATTGGTGTGAGTGGTGGTACTTTATAAATAAGAGGAGAATTTGAGTTGGTCCTTTAACTACAGGGAGAATAACAACCACAGTCTTCATAAAATAAATTATAATGTGTATTCTCTAAACTGTCATGTGTCCACCTACTTTTTTACAGTGCTTTCCTGCAGCCTACATCATGATTTTATATCAATAACTACATCTGCTATTATAAAAAGAGATAAAATCCTGTTTCCTCTCACAGTTTCCTATTTAAAAAATTTGGCCCAAACACCACCCCAACCACGCAGGTGATCACAAACACCACCCAGAAGATAACGGCCAGCAGCTGCACACAGAACAGCGTCTTCTTGCTCTGCTCTATGACTTCCTCTTCCCCCACCAGGCCTGGCGCTGTGCCGTACAGCCTGCCCGGGTGCATCTGCTGCACCCGCAGGCTCACGGTGGGCAGGATGATGAAGCGGGTGTCCCTGCTCTCGCCCTCCAGGGAGAGCACCACTCTCTGGGTGACCGTGGCCAGGCGATTGGCCATGGCCACAGGCAGGCGGAAGGCCACTTGGGGCAGCCTGGCCAGGATGCGGGAGTTGCAGGGTAAGGAGAGGGCGTTCCCGGCCTCCAGAGGGGTGAGGTGGCGGCAGAGGGGGCAGGGGATGGCTGGAGGGCTGTGGGGGTTGGGGGGGTCGCAGGGGCAGAGCTGGATCCTCTGGAGGCATTCAGTGCAAAAAACATGAAGGCACTCCAGCATCCGAGGGCATTTATTGTACTGGTTATACTCCTGGTAGCAGATGGGACATTCTACATCCATGGGCTCCCCGGGGGTGGTGCTGGGGCCGGGTGCTGCATCAGCCTGGTCCCCCTGCTGGGGAGCTGGGACAACATCCCCTGTCATGGTGTGGGAGGGAGGGTAAGTAGATGGAGTTGGGAGCTCAGTGCTGCAACTTGTGGAAGAATATTTAGCAGAAGATGGTGAAATCTGTAAAGAGAAAACAACTTAAAGTGTACTTCTGTAAGAGAACTCCAGGAGGGGTTTAAATGCTCTGCTCTGCCCTGGGATGCTGCTTTGTTTCTTCTAAGTTTTATGAACAGATTCCTCAGCCCATGAGTCACAGCATACATCCACTTAACCACTTGTGCAACGTCAAACTCCCCCTCCTGGCTCACAATCACCCTGATCCCACGTAGTTTGTGTTGGCCTGCTCCAGTCAGAGCGTCCAGGAGGTTAGGAAATTACTGATGAGAAAAAGTACAAAAAAGCTGTTAAAGGAAGTAATAAGTCACTGCTAAAACTTTCTGCATGCATACATGTGTTTGTGCAGGTCCTTTTTCTCCACTGGGATTTGTTTTCTTTGAGTCATTAAAAGCGACCACTGACTAACTAACTGAGTATTATTCGGTCTGAAAAATGGTTATAACTCCGGTGGCTCTGGAGGAGATTTCTGAAGAAAGACAAAATAACCCAGATGATGTCATCAGGGTTGTCTCGGCTTAGACTTTTACAATTTCTAGAGGTGATCTTGTGTTACAAACTGACAGCACAAGTTTGAAACCTATACAAGGTCTAACACTGTTGCATCATGGGAAATATAGGATCCAATGTTTTGGTTGACCTATACCTGAGACTGAAACTTCGATTTAAATGTGTTTCTTGTAAGTCTGCCAACTTTATGGAAGTGCAATAATAAGTTGTTGGAGGAATATTTGAAAGGCACATTGACTAAATGTCAACTGCTGAGCCTGGCAGATTTTGAAGGTATAGTTCGACATTTTGGGAAATACGTTTACATTTCCATTCTCTACCAAGACTTAGATGAGAATATTGACACCACTGTCGTGTATTTCTGTTCAATATAAGGCTACAGCCAGCAGCCACTTAGCATAAAGACTGGAAACAGGAGAAAACAGCTTGCATGGCTCTCTCTGAAAGTAAAAAGAAGTGTAAATGTTGTGGCTTTACGGGGGTTACTTAGTAAGCTTTTGAGATGCCGGTGGGCAGATTTTGTTACCTTTGGACAGAGCTAAACTAGCTATCTCCCCCTGTTTCCAGTCTTTATGCTAAGCCACATGAGAGAAGCGAGTGTCTAACTCATATTTCCCACAATGTTAAATCATTTATTTAAAAGGTAGAAGTCCCCTGATCTGATCCATGTATAAAAGCTGTGATTTATGAAAGCGTTGACACTGGTCCCTGTTTGTTGCTCACATGGGATAACTACAGGGCAACCTAAGCTCACTCATGAGGGGATTGTTGCTTAGCAGATGGGGTCTCCTTTGAATTGGTTCAAGGCAACACACAGCCTGAGACCTTTTCTTAGAAAATCACAGAACCAGAGCAAAATAATAGGGGTTAAAATATATAAATTACACCAACAATAAGCACTTTAATTTTCTCCAAAATCACACTATGTGTAGTGATAAACAGGTTGTGGAAGGGAAGTGTTGAAGCCAGCACTGAAGGCTTGTACAGTATGAATAAATGAGCCCTCTTGAATCTATGTAGTCCACCAGGTTCAGTGAGACTACACTGAAAGAGAAACTGGCAGCGATCCATCATTACACACTAAGAAGCAGATAAGAAAGCCACTTACCCACCACACACTCCTTTGATCAGAGCACACTTTGATGCCCACCACCGACCCAGGTACTTCCCCTCACACAGTTCATACTCCTTCTCATGTTGGTACAGATCTCATCCTGGCAAAGTGTCTTCTTCCCGTCTCCTGCGTGCACACCAACCACTCAAGTTTCTATCTTAATATTCTGCAGCTACGTGTCTGAGCTTGGCTCGCTGGCAACCTCCTGTTTTTCGCTCCGTCTCACCTGATTTTACTCGTCCTCGTCTCTCCGTCTAGTCCCCCATGAGGCATCTCTGTGGTTTGCTCTGCAGTAATTAAACCCTTGGTGATGTGAAGGTAACCAGGACACACAAGGCAGAAAATGACAGATTGGAGTGTCTTGATCCCGACTTACTCTATACTCACATATTATGTTATTATGCTTCCACACAGTCAGCATGTAGAGGTTTGTAAATGGCAACTTGTGGATTAGGGTGTAATTATTAACATCCTTTCCTTTTTTCTACATTAAAAGTGAGTTGTTTAAGTGGATACTATTACAAAAAAATCACTTTTTTAATTTTTGTGGGTGTCACAATCTAGTAAAAGTACATAAGTTTTAGGGACAGAACAGTTTGTGTGCATTCAGGTGAATTATTGACGTGTAAATTAAGTCACATAACCTGTACGGTATCTGTTACACCCTGATTGAACGATTTCCTTGTTACCAGCTTGTCCTGTACAGATGTTGTAGATGCCAACTGTGCTATTTTAGTCGTATTATTTTAGTCTGAATAAACTAAGTGATTAGAACCAATAAGACTTTCACTATGAAAAACCAATTAATGGGATAATTGCTTAACTTGAGTTCCTCTAAAGCCTGAAACTAAACAATCAAGCTTTTAAGATTTTACCAAAAAGTTGAGAAAGTTGCAAAGTAACTACCAAACTTAACAAAATGTTTAAATCTTTTTTTCTTTTAAATGTTTCACCACAGCTGTGATTTCCAGATTTGCCCAATACAAAGAACAAATTATGTATTTACACATTGTTCCATTAGACTGTAAACAAAAAAATAATAAATAACAATAATAACTTAACTCAAGTGGCCATTCGAGGAACTGCAGTTTTTGAATGGTGCCACAAAAGCAGTGAAAAATAGTGTCTCAACCCAGGTTTCATGTTTCCGTCACTGCTGGAGCCGATAAATACCTGTGACTGCAGAAGAGTGACGACAAGAGGCAGATGTTAGTGGGGTTTTTTGTTCAGGGGTTTAAGATGATGGGGACAAATTCCACAGTGACTCCAGATTCTGTCCCATTTTAAACAGGAGGAAAAATTAGAGCAACCAAAATTTGTTTTATTGTACATTTGGGCACGTCAGTATTGTTTAAAGATAGACTTAAAAACTGTGAACCTGTAAGTTATCATTTTGGAACAATCCAAAAAATGTACTTTCCTTAAGACCTGAGTGCCTTTACAATAACAGAATATATTATAAATGATTAAAACAATGGCTCAGACATACTCCTGACTTTTCTACAGAGCCAAGTAAATAATTTGTTAAAAGGGTTATTTTCCTCCTTTTTATTTTACATGACTTTACACATTTACAGTAAGTTAAATGCTGGATGAGAAAGCGGGAAGGCCTGCAAGAACAAACATTTACAAACAATTAACAAAAGACTGTAACTCACTCCTCACACACACACACACACTCTCTCTCTCTCTCTCTCTCTCTGACTATCTCTCTCTATCAGAGAGAGAGAGAGTCTGGTTGTTGGCCAACAACATTTCAGCGGAAATCACCATGAAAGGACAAACAACTGATAGGAAGAGGATTGTCTGGGGATTACCATCATGGAGTGGGAAGGGCTGACATGACATCACTTTACACACACACACACACACACACTGGAGTATCAGTGAGGGCATGTTAGATTAAATAGGGGAATATATTAGGGGAACTTTTGAATTATGTTTTTTTAACCTTAACAGGGACACTTCATGACTAATGAATTGAAAATGTCATTATGTCTTGCTTCAGCTTGCATCTGGCAGTTAATACATTTAAAAATAAAAAAAAAATCTAATCCAATAAGCTTTATTGACATTTGCCATGTGTTGCCATAGCACAATTACAATACCAACACTGTTGATTGTTTACGTGGAGGTGTGTGTGTGCGTAATAGTGGGTTGGTCCAACTGGTTTCTATTGCATCACGTGTATTTTGGGCTTACTGACTCATAGGTTATGTTTACTTGTCTCAAGTCTACTACATTTCTCCCCTCAGGAGTCCCTCCTCCTCCCACGCACTTCCTCACACCCCTCCTGTATAAAATGGCCCACTTACTCATAGGCTGATTCATTCATTCAAATTAAAAACCCTGAAAGGTAAATCAGTGAGGAGCAGCTCAGATCAGAGAACCCAGGATGTATTCAGAGCTTGAGTGCGGAATTTGTTACCGGACCTATAACGCAGGTCGGCGGTGTCCCCGGGAGCTCCTGTGCAAACACAGCTTCTGTGAGAGCTGCCTGCTGGCCCTCTCACGACCCCTGGGGCCCGAAGAGGCTCATCCGGGAGCGGACAAGTCCATCGTCTGCCCGCTGTGCCGACACACCACTTCCATCTCCGGAGAGGGGACGGTGAGAGCCGGGCTGAGGGTGGATGAGTGCGTCCTGGAGCGGCTGTTGGCAGAGGGGGTCCTCGATCAGGAGGAGGACCCGGAGGAAGAGGAGGAGGAGGACGGTCACGTTCAAGGCGGCTTTGGCGACTGCGAGGAGGCGACGCTTCCCGACAGTCAGGCCGAGGAGAGCGACTCGTTTGCGGACTCCAGGAGTGGGAGGATCCGGCGGGGTTGGAGGAAAGTTTGGCAGAAGATTAGCGGGAAGAGCTCACGGCAGAGGAGCGGAGAGAGTAAGTAGACACCGGATTGTGGTTCATAACTAGGGGTTTTAACTTGTCATGTTGTTGGGACAAAGTATCAGGGAGTTCTTAAAATGACCAGAATGAGAGTGAAGTTTGGTGGTGATCGTAGCAACAGCTAATAATACAGGGTGCTCTTTTAAGGCAATTAAACAGACAGATTAGGCCACATCTAACTTAGCTTCACAGTTAAGTACACAGTTTAGTTTTGATTTAGTGTCAGGTTTAGCTTCAGTGTAAACTCATAAAATCATCCATTATGTTTATATTTTCTTGTCAATATATCCATTATTCACACAAGTAATCCTCCTGAAATAATCTAGAGCAGAATACAACACACCTTTTATGTGTAATTTTAACTGTTTAGTATCCATAGTAAGAAAACAGAAAGCTTTATTTAAAAATGCACATACTGGCTATATCAATAGTTCTAATGTGTCCTGTCTTCTTCTTCCAGACTGTATGACCGGTGATGACATAAGGAACCTCGCCATGATGTCCTGCTACATGTTTTAAGAGTGGACAACTTCAGATACCCTGGACAATGTGATACTGTATTTATTTTCAATGCTTCTCTTGGCAACATGGACTTGATGATGATGATGACGATGACGACGGCAATGATGAAACCTTGCTGGCGAGACTTTCAGCTTTTCAGCTTTCTGATAGCTTGTGTAAACCATGACCACTATGTAGCTTCTCTAATGAGGAAAAATGGAAAACTTGTGAATTGCCAAAGTGGCCAATTTTAGGCCTATTAATGCACTAATATATATATTTATATTTATTATTTTCATAAGTGTATATTTATTTTGATATGTTTGTTACATATTTAAGGAAAAATAAATGAGCTCTGGTTTCATTTCACTTTGTTCTTTGTCTGCATTTTGAATTTTGAGTGGGTGTTTGAGTGAGTCAGTCAATATGTGCCATACAAAAAAACTGAGCACAATGGCCAAGCTGTGTGTGTGTGTGTGCAAAATACAGTCAAAATAACTGCATCAAGTCCAAACTAGTGGCTGGATTTTGGAGGGGAGTTTGGGTGTGTCAGAGTGTACAAAAAATGAACACGTTGCATCAAGTCTAGGACAAAGAAAAAGCACTTTACAGAGTAACATTCAAGGATGAGGCAAAAACATCAAAGCAAATTAAAGATAATTACATCAAAGTAGATCAAATATTTGAACAAATTCTACATGAAATAAGTTAAAAAAGGAAGACTACTCTTCAAAGACGGCTTCAGGAAGTGGGTTACTCGAGGCCAGGTGAACAGCATTACCTCCAATCAGACTCACAACCAGCAGCAGAGCGTCAGTAACTCATGTTTGACAAGTGAAACACACGGACTAACAACACTGCTACAACTTATTTTACAACTTTTTCTGACAATCATACAAACTTGGAAGAAGCTGGTCCATCATGTTAAAAATCTCTACTCTCTACTCAAGGTAAATATCATATTTTATGGGCTTTTGGACATGTGGTCATAACATTAGAAAAGGGTTGATGGTCATTTTTACCTGACAGAATTATGATTCCCATAAATTCTCCTCTCTTTCTCTCTGTCTCTGCAGACTCTTGTTTGTCTTTGCGCTGGTCTGCGCAGCTGTCATGTCGTTTATCATGCGTTCAGATGCTGCAAGAGGTGAGTGCAAACAGGCCAGTATCTGCCAGGGGGGCAACACTGCAGCGTCTGCAGTTCTAGTGAGCTAATGCTCATCTTAATGGCTGTCTGAAAAATGTCATGAGGCATGTGTTGGCTTATTGAGTTAGACTGGTTGCTGACATATTTGTTTCCTTAAAGCTGCAGCTCATTGTGTTAACAATAACAGAGAAGATATTTTCTCATGCATGTCTTTAACTTGGCACACCAGGATTAAGGTCTTGTAACAAAAATGTGTGGTGATAATGCTTTTATTTTTATGAGATTTATAGCAACTTACAAATCTGGAAATGTATTTGATCTTGAGGCATTTCAGCCTATATTTAACTAAAATGAGGGTATAAAATTAGCATTAAATATCAAAGTGATTTACCAAAGACTATTTAACTAATTAATGCAACTTTAAGAGGGATTTTTCTATGTGTCACATTAATTATTTGCTTGTATAGCAGCATTAGAAAGAACTAATCATTATTTCTTATGTCCCCATCCTTTTTAACCTTCAGCCAGTCCCATAACAACCCAAGTGGACAAGGGAGTGAAGCACAATGTCTTGAGACGGTTGTACATTCCTTACAGTCAACATCATCCCCTTTTTATTGGTCTGCTATCAACCGAAACTGGACTCCAACGTGGAACTAATAGTGAAACTGAGACAAGCAGCAATTACAGAAAAGCCTTGTCAATCATTGACCATCAGTCAAACCCTCTACAGTTTACAAAAGGTAGCTTTAGTTACCATCAAAACATCCCAGATAACAAACAGGCCAAAGCAGGAATTAGTAGAGTGTGGAGTGGAGTGAGGCCAGCAAGCAGCCTTGAGACACGTCAATCCAGAGTAAATTACCATCCACTCTCTCAAAAAGTTGCCCAAAATGGAAATTCCTATAATTCAGTCATTATTAGAAAACCATCTTACAAAGAAGCTACCAGTCTCTTTTATCAAAGCTCCAGTCCTTCACACATTTGGGAGCCCAAAGATGCTCAGAAATCCTACAACAGAGAAAAAGTTCCTAGAAATGACTCTCCAAAGATGACTAAAGATGAAACTGTTTGGCAACCCTCTGACTCTTCTCTTTTTTCATCCCAGACGGGTACATATTGGAGTACTACACTGCCAACCTCAAGAGGGCATTACAGTGGCTATAAAGAGACAAATGAGCTCACTGCAGCCGGGCCGTGGAGTACATCTACTGGGATTCAATCAAGCAAATTTCTCGGCTTCGCAAGTCAAACTGCCCCTCATGCACCATCAATCAGCAATAGACCAGACGCCTCTGTTATTAAAAGCAATCCAAGCCCAGAAAAACTGACATCATCAATCACAGATTTCTACCACGGGCCGCACTCGGTGAGAAGCAGTGAGACACCAAAACACAAAAAGCTCATGTCGTATCTGTTCAAGGACCCCCAGACCTCTCATGGTGGACACGAGGCAGTTAATACAGTCGCTGGTGATGGACACAGAGCTCTGTCCACAACAGCACATAAGCAAAGGCCCTCTAATCCACAAGTTTACAGCAGGTTTTCTTCAAATTTTAAACAATTAGAGCAACCACAGAGAGAAGAGCCCACAAAGGGAGTACAACATCAGTCTGATAACGCCAATCCACTGTATCAAAATACAAATGCGGCCCAGTATGGTGCTCAGATAGATAGAGCAGGAACTCAAATCTCTGTATATCCTGCTCCACCGAAAGACGTTACCATGGAAAGTTTTGTCCCGGTACCTCATGCAGATTTCCAGAGTAACTATGCCACTGGCAGCGATAAATCTGTAGTGAGTAGCCTGGTTATTACAACGCCAAGAGGATCAATGCAAGCTCACAGACCTGGCGTAACCACAAAAAGCATCTACGGTTTGAGAGGTTTTAAGAGTCCTACATGGAGAGCTGTGAAGGAGTCACCTGCTCTCTCCTCCAGTCGCTCTGATGAAAGGTTCAACTCTCAGAGGTTCCGCTTTGACAAAGGAAAGTTTAAAATCGCAAATGTGTACCCCTCTTTGTCACCAAAGTACAGCTTTGGCCAGAGAGGAGCATCTACTGCTACAGTGAAACCTGAGAGGGCACCCACAGATTATTCCTCACCTTCTCCTGGTACTTTAGACATCATCCAAACCAAGACCACTCCAAGGCCGTTAACATCAGGATTTAAGGAGGCCCGGCCTCCGCTGCCTGAAAGTGATGCTGGTAAGGGCAGAGACCCAGATCGCACACAGTTCAGAAACTACAGAAGAATATTTGGTTTCAAAGGGTTTGGCAATCGACCACTTGAGGGAGCCAAACCTTTAGTTAGTGAACCAGACAAGTCTGCCAGAGTCCAGCAGGGTTTTAAAAGTTTTAAACTTAGAAGCTGGCAACCGAAGAGCAGCAGGAGTCACTGGTGGTACAATAAAACAGAGCCGGGTAGCAGCCGTGTATCCACAAAGAGTCAAAATGAGCAAAGCAGTGAAGAGCTGAAACCACTTTTAAAGACAGCAGGAAGCACTGTTACCAGATTTACTCCTGACACATACAAAAAGACCCACAAAATCAACACTCAGGGATTTCACCCTCTGAATGTTCATAACAAAACCCACTGGAGGTACAAAGAACAAAACGCCTCTACAGCATCTGCAAGTCACACAACCTCCTCAGCTTATATCAGATCAGCGGTGGACCTCGAGGTCAAATCCAGCCAAAAGTCTGAGCCAAGCCTGTCCAACAAAACCAAACTACCTGCAATGAAGGCGAGGCTGCTCGGCAGTTCCACCAGCAGCACGGTGAGAGGCAAACGCGTGAATGAAAAACACACTAATGGCAAAAAGCTCAATGAATCTACGTTTCTGAGCAATGGAAACCTAGCCATAGTCAGGCTTCCCAAGCGGCCTGTTAGAGTCAAAGCTGTCACGTACTCTGATATTGTTGGAAGTGCTTCGTTCAGCGGCATCAGGGCTACAACTCAGACACCAACGGCTGATTATTTTCCAGACGCTACAGCTGCCATCAAGCAAAAAGCAGGGGCGGGTCATTGGACCTTAAACTCTGAGGATGCTGTGTATAGTAGGGGCAACACCAGCAGAGGCCCTAAAGCACAAAAGGAAGGTGAGGAAGAATATTTGAGCAGCGTTGAGGAAAACAAGCGGAGAAGTGAAGAAGTTGACAGTGACGTGAAAACTTCAGGTCTGTTCCTGGATGACGAAGGAAGTGGAAGTGGAAGTGGGGGCTTTATTGTGTCTTCTTCAACCAATACCACAAAGAGTCAGGGACTTAGTGAAGATTTGTTCGAACTAGATTATCTACGAATATCAACCGGAAACATCTCCTTCAAGTCATTGTAACTGTCCCATATGAAACTTGTTTAATTGTTCCAATAAAAGTGGGAAACGTACTTGTAATTAATTTTTTTCTTGTAAAAAGTGGATATCAACAATTATTTAACAAATTATAAAGAATTATTAGATATGTTTATGAATATCAATTTCTCAATATAGTTCCATGGGAAAAAAATATTTTTGTGTTTTGTAACAAATGTGAAGATCATCCAAATCTCTCTCAAAAAACATTTCTAATTGTTTTTAATGGGTTTACAGGAATAGTTTGACATCAGTAACTTCATGGAATTTCCGCTGCCTGGCAACTGGTCCTGACCAGGAAATGACATTTTTTGGCGTTTCTGTTTTTGTAACAGATGAGATGTGTTAGTCAGCTTTAAGAGGTGCTCGTAGGCAGATTTGAAGCCGTTTCCTCCATTTCTGTTCTTCATGCTAAATAAAGCTAAGCTAACTGGCTGCAGGTGCTAGAGAAGAACAAGAAAGTGAATCAGCCTGTTTCCCAAAATGTCAAACTGTGGACACAATAGCAAGAACAGCTGTAGCCTACAATACAGTGTGTTATAAATAAAGCCTAAAAACATATATAATCACCAGAGTTTATTAGAGTTAAAGTTTATTAATCGATTATTCAATCATAAGAAAATTTACTATTTTGAGTCACGTTCGAATCCAAAATGCCAAATATTTGTTTTTCTGCTTTTCTTTTTCTTGTATATCTTTGGGGTTTGGAGTGTTTGTGGGATAAAATAAGACATTTAAAGACATGATACACTTTTTCACTATTTCATGTCTTTGAAATTGAGAAAAAATAAATCATCACTTTAATCAATACTGAAAATATTAGTTAGCTGCAGCCCTGTCCATCCTGATCATTATCAGCTTAAGGGATGTAGTCTACTTATTTGTGAAAATATATTAATTGGCTTTTCATGGATTTTTTACCAATATTGCCTCAGCTTTCTCAGATCCCCATTGTTTCATTCACTGTGGTAAAAAAACCCACTGTTCTGATTTTACACACAGATTACGAATAATACTGAGAATTATTTGAAAATACTATGTACTGCAAATCATGTCTGGTAATACAGCATGTTTATTAAATTACATCCATCCCAACCTCAAGTCTTCTCTCCAAGGAGAAACGGAAACCTTAGGATGAGTGGAAAAACGACAGAGGTCAAACGTGGATTTCTGAGCTTAACTTTTGCCTCATTTGGCAAATTATTTGCATAATAATGTCAAGTATGAAGAGGGAAAACAAAGGAAGGTCATACTTGAGGCTTTTTATAAATTGATTGTATTCCCATTCCTTGTGTCCTCATTTTCCAGGCAGGCAGTGGCTATTCAGCGTGCTGACACAGATTTTCCGTCTCCTCTTTCGAGCTTACGAGGAAGGTTTCAGCATGCTGGTCTCTGGGTTAACATGCTGTGAGATGGAAAAACTTGTTCTTCCCCTTTGGGAGAAGGTCTTTTTCTGACTTTGCCAAGCCATTAATAAGAACACAAAGAGTAATTGAATAAAACAAGTCATTATGTGGTTTGTTCCTATCGATTTAGGCCATAAAGGGAATACAGACTTTAATGGAATTTGTTTGTTAGCTGCAATCACAAGAACCATGCTGCTATAATCTTATCTATATTGTTAGTGGCAACTGAAATGAATGAATTATACATCAATCAACAATTATGCATTTACAGCAACAGCAGATACTAGGTATTCCACTAGATGGCGTTACTCATCCATTTTTATTATCCCACGTGTGACCTCAAGTGGTGGATGTTGTAGGTCTCATGCTGTGGAGTCCTGTTGGGCTACTAACATAACAAATTATAACATAAACTGCAGAATATGTGTGATTTTTGGTCTTTACGAGATTAAGAAAAGCTGACAGTTGAGGGCAAAATGTACGTCCGTGTTTTCGCGCTGATCAATCAGCCAACCGAGCACACTGTTTCAGGGGCATTGGGTCCACGCTAAGCCCACATCACAGCTCCTAACGGATCCATTCACACCACCTGACCCTTCACTTTTTCCCAGTCAGCCAATTCCACCTAAATACCAGTTTGTCCTCAATCTACAAGCTCAAAGGGGCCCCACGGCGAAGAGAGGGTGGGAGGGTTTGAGGGATCTGCCAGTCAAAGTTAACCACATTGTACATTGGATTAACCCCCCCCCCACACACACACACACACCCTCATCCCACTACCACCACCACCACCACCATACCAATAGCCGTGGAAAGTGGGACCGTCCGCTTTCCCATAGAGCTAAGAGGTATGTAGGTGATATGATGTTTTGAGGTTTTCCGCGCGCAGGCATGTCAAGGCGTTGGCCTGTCGGCACCTTCAAAGTTCCCCTCTTTCTGCGCTGCCTTTTTGTGTAGCTGAGTGTCTGGTTCACACACTGCCTTCCTTTCCAAGTGTGTGTACTCGCCTGTAATATTGTGTGTGTGTGTGTGTGTTTATCACAGACAGTGTGGTGTTCTTTTGCAAAGCCGGCCCTCCCCCTCTCCTACTGCGAGGGGAATTCTGTACCATGTGTCTGCGGTTTTCAGGGAGCTTTCAAGGAAAATAAAGCACAGAGGCCTCACAGTCCCCCTCCTCACCACTACTCTCCCAAAACGCCCTCCTCAACTCCCTCCTCCTTCTCCTCCTCCTTCTTCTTCTCCTCCTCCTTCT